TCACATTCTCTACCTCGGCGCCAACAACCTGTATGGCTGGGCCATGAGCCAGTATCTACCCACAGGGGGGTTCGAATGGGCGTCACAGGAGGTCGATGTTATGAGCATCGCACCAGATTCGAATAAAGGTTATATCCTCGAGGTTGACTTGGAATACCCCAAGGCATTACACACATCACACAACAGCTACCCCTGGCCCCGAACGTATGAGGGTTAACCCGAACTGGATGTCTGAGTACCAACATAACTTGTTAGGTGGGCGTGTGACAGACGTTGAAAAACTCGTGCCCAACTTAATGAATAAGACCAAGTACATCGTTCACTATCGCAACCTACAGCTGTACCTGTCGTTGGGTATGAGGCTGACCAAAATACACAGGGTGCTCGTGTTCACCCAGAGCCCCTGGATGGAGCCCTACATCAGAATGAACACAGACCTCCGAAAGCTTGCCACCAGTGACTTTGAGAAAAATCTCTACAAGCTCATGAACAACTCGGTGTTTGGTAAGACTATGGAGAACCTGAGGAAAGCAGCGTGACCGTGAAGCTGGTTCGGTCGAATGAGGAAGACAAGCTCAGGAGACTGATAGCCAGTCCGGCATTCAACCGTAGCAAAATATTCACCGATGACCTAGTTGCCCTACACATGAAGAAAAGCCACATAAAATTCAACCGGCCTGTTTACGTGGGGATGAGCATCCTCGATTTATCCAAACACCTGATGTACGACTTTTACTACAACGAGCTCAAGAAACAGTACGGCGACAGGTGTGAAGTTCTGTACACTGACACGGATTCCCTGCTGATGGAGATTCGAACCGAGGACGTGTACGTTGACATGAAAAAACACCTCGATTTGTATGACACCAGCGACTACCCTAAGGACCATGCCATACACAGTACGGTAAATAAAAAGGTCCTAGGTAAGATGAAGGACGAGTGTGCTGGCACGCCCATAGCCGAGTACATAGGGTTGAGGCCTAAGATGTACTCCATACTGAAGGCCGACAATGGTGAAATCCGGAAGGCTAAGGGTGTTAAGAAGTATGTGGTGAAACAACACATCAAACACGCCAGATTCAAAGGAAGCCCTGTTCAAGACCCGTACCTTTAGGCATAAAATGAACACACTTAGAAGTGATGGGCATAAGATATACGGACTGACTATAAACAAGACGTCCCTGTCGCCTATGGACACTAAACGTTGGATAGCTATTGATGGGATAAACACGTACGCGTATGGGCATGAGAAAATTGAACATGTCACGGAACCAAAGAAAGTTTGAGGCTATTTACTACAGCCCGCGTGGGTACTGGAAAGGAGCTAGCGCTGTAGATAAGCTAGCTAAAATGGCGCGAGTACCCCCGGAGGAGGCCAAAGCGTGGCTTGAAAAACAAGCCCTGTGGCAGATCTATTTGCCGGCACCACGCTACGTGCCTAGAAGGAGGTTCGGTATTAACATACCTAATAGCGTTCACCAGGCAGACCTACTGTTCCTACCCACGACAAGAGGTACAAGTATGCCTTAACCGTAGTGGGCGTAGCCAGTCGCTACAAAGGAAGCCGAACCCTTGACCGCGAAAGATTCGGCCCAGGTAGCCAGAGGATTCGACGCATATACAAGCGCAGTCCGCTGACGTGGCCAACAGAGCTGCAAGTTGACCCGGACGGGGAGTTCATGGGTGCCGTGTCACAACTGCTAGCCAAACACGATACAAAGGTCAGGCGTGGCACGGCTGGAGCCCATCGCAGCCAAGCCATAGTTGAGAGATTTAATAGGACTTTGGCTGAAGCGCTTATTCGGACATCAGTATGCTAGGGAGATGGCAACCCCGGGAAAACGATCGACTGAATGGGTCGCGAGGTTACCCAAGGTGGTGTCGGCAATCAACCATGAAGTCACCCGGCTCACTGATAAGAAACCGGCAGACGCTATCAAACTAAAATCAATAGTTGCAGAGCCGGCTGCTCCATTGCGTGGGAAGGAGAAACAGATACCAGATAGGGCCCTAGTGAGGTATCTATACCAGCCGGGGGAACACGAGGGTGATAGCCGTAGGCGAGCCACCGATCCTATATGGTCAGTCAAAACTTACAACATAGATAAAGTGGACATCAAAGCAGACGAGCCTAACTTGTACTACTTGAGGGATGGGCCAGGTAGGGGGTTTGTAAGAGCGGAATTATTGATCGTACCGTACGGCACAGTGTTACCTCCAGCATAGCGGTGTCCCATTACTTCCAGCCATGCCCCGGTGGCGCGGCTAGGAGGTGCGTTCGCATCCCCCAACTTTTGTAGTAGGGGTAATGGTAGCAAGAGCTAAGGGTCCGACCAAAGCCTTACTTGTGAAATAAGGCTTTGCAGAGGCTTTGGTTGAAAGTGATCCAGAACCGCTATCGGCCCAAACTTTTTCATAGTAGGGGTAATGGTAGCAAGAGCTAAGGGCCCGACCAAAGCCTTATTTACCAAATAAGGCTTTGCAGAGGCTTTGTTGAAAGTGATCCAGAACCCCACAATTCCCGGCAGATGGGGGATATTTGTGGCCCCGCATTTGCTTGTGTTAGTCAAATTGAATCTAAGTCGATGTAACACGTGTTCTGATTGGATAGAAAGAAGGGAGATAATTCGTGTTGCGATCTTTTGCCGCTAGGGGATTTTACGAGGACCGGGAAATATGGCCGTATTAGAACAGAGGTTATGTAGGAAGATATGACAGGAGTAACCTCTGTGGGAAGAGAATGGTTTGTCATAGAATCTATACAAAACTGCTTAAGTAAAGTCAGTACATGGTGTTCAAAATGGGGTTTAAGATTTCAAAATCAAAATCAGTGGCAATGCTGATCACAAGACGTAAGATCCCTCATGATATCAATTTAACTCTTGGACACCATAAACTGGAAAAGGTGTCAGTGTTCAAATTTCTTGGTGTGTATTTTGATCAAAGATTAACATGGTCTCATCACATCACACATTTGTATAACACATGTAACAAGATCATCAATCTATTAAAGTGTATTTCAAAACAAAGTGGGGTGCTGATAAGTCAACTATGTTATTGCTGTACAAGGCCCTTATCTTGTCCAGACTTGACTATGGTTGTCAGGTGTATATGTCGGCGGCTAAATGTCATCTTAATAAGCTTGATAGAATTCAGTCTAAAGCTTTGAGAATATGCACTGGGGCCTGTTGTACAACTCCAACCTCAGCACTTCAAGCTGAGTGTTCAGAAATGCACCTTCACCTTCGAAGACAACAGGTATCTTTGAAATATTTCTTGAAAATGAAAACCAAGAACAAACACCATGCAGTCACTGAGATTGTTAATGACTGTGTGGAATATGTCATGTGTGACTGGACTCATGGCAAATTACCCTTTGGCTTGAATATTCAGAGATTAGCTGATCAACATGGTATTTACAACTGTAACCCAGTTGATCCTTCTGCTCCGCCTGTCACACCTCCGTGGCTTCTGCTGAAGCCTGGATTGAATTCTGAACTCAATTTAATCGTGAATAAGAGAATGGACCAAAACATAATAAAAGTGATAACTCAAGACTTTCTGTCTGGAAATTATTCTAATTTCACACATATATACACTGATGCATCGAAAGAACGATCCAATGATCGTACTGCTGGGGCTTTTTGGATACCCAATTTATCGATCGCTAAGGTGTTCAGATTCCCTGATTATCTTTCTGTTTTTGCAGCTGAACTTTTGTCCATTTTGCAAGCATTGAGATGGGTAGATGAACATGACCATGAAGCAATTATCTTTACAGATTCCATGGCAGCAATCAAAGCTATAGAAGCTGGTGCAAATGGATCTAGAGATGACATTGTTCATGAGATATTAAAGTTGAATACATCTTTAAACATGAAGTACATTGCATGCGACATTGTGTGGGTCCCAGCACATGTTGGAATACATGGGAATGAGATTGCAGGTAATTTGGCCAAATCCGGGTTACAGTTTCCTGAAGTTGATTTATTTAAATTTCAACCAATCCCTAAAGATTATGAAAATGTTTTATCGAAATCTGTTACAAGGAGTTGGCAACAGTTGTGGGATACAGGTACTACCGGCCGACACATATGTACAAACTTAGACCATCACTAAAATCTGGTCATAAAATTCGTCGTCGTAAAAGGCGTGATGAGGTTATTCTTTCACGTCTCAGACTTGGACACTGTGGGCTAAATGCTTACAGGAGTATTAAAGATAAGACGGTCTCTTCTAAATGTGGCCATTGCAATTTGGAGACGCCTGAAAACATCGAACATTATCTAATTACATGCCCTGGGCATAACAACATAAGACATAATATCAGAAGTGCTGTACTTGAGGTTGATGATGTATTTTCATTAGAAACAGTTTTTGGCCCCAATATCATGTATGGGTCTGTGCAACGGGCAGTTTAGATTTTGTCTCGTCATCTGGAAAATATGATGTAATCTAGACAGCCGATCGAATGGCTTAGACAGATTTAGTTCTGTGGTTTTAAATCATTTTAACACTCTGTCATCTGAACCTACTGCTTTTTTATTGAATGAGTATCTCATGTTTCAGAAATGGAAGTGATTACTTAAGGTTTTTAATCCGTAACACAAAGCAGAGGTTATTCGACATACGTATACATCTATCAAAATTAATAGTGTTGTCGTTTCTTTTATCTTAACTAAACGATTCCTTTTGGCAATGAAATTACCTATGATTGTTTATTAAATCAAGTCAATGTGTTGGGCGCAAATAGGCCTCTTACTGGCCCACGTCGACCTAAAACTATAAAACCAACCAACAACGAATAAGGTCCGTTTTGTCTGCAGTCTCACGTACGAACGTCTGTGAAAGACATCAGAGGAATGACTCGGTGAAGTAGACATGATAATAAATGTGACCCCTTTTACCTGCAGTCTAATATATGGATGTCTGTTAGAGACATCAGAGGAATGACTCCGGTAGGTAGACGTGATAATGAATGTGACCCCTACTACCTTCAGAGTCCAACATTGGGATGTGAACAATGAACTAGTCCATGGCCACTGGTTCGAAGACAAGACCGGAGACCCTGACTACACCAAGAAGATATTCGCCAAGGTTCACCAGGCTGATCCCAGCGTCAAACTGTTCCTCAATGACTATAGCGTCGTGTCAGCAGGAACCGCAACATCGGTAAGACACGTATAGATAGTTGTAAAACATTTTGAAATCAGATGACGTCTATGATCTACATCAATATTAAATCCATTTCTGACCAATCACCATTGTAACAACCATAAATTGTAATGTCAAGAAGGTACACGATTAAATGTTGTAACTCCAGATCGTTTGTCAGACAATGCTAATTCCATGCACATAATGCAAATGGCGTCCTTGACAGAATTGTTTTCACGAAGGTTGATGTTCCAACCCAAGTATATTTCCAGTAATTTAATATTTTGTTTTGGACAATACATGATCTCATAATCGTCTGGCCAAAATAACCTCAGTTAATTGAGCAACTTCTCTCGCTGTGACAAGTCAGTGAAATACGCATTTTGGAAAATTGACAAACTTGAGGAAGCTGCTTAGAACATAACGATCAACCCTCGTCACTGGGAACTACCTCAGTACTAATATTTTCATGTGCGTACGTTGACAGGCTTACCTGGTTCAGGCAAAGGATTTCAAGGCTGCCAATGTTGGTTTATATGGGATTGGCATTCAGTGCCACTTTGGTAAAGACTCTGCACCAGATCCAACACTTATTAAGGTAAGGATTAAATATCAGGGCCACACACTTACTAGGAATATATCGGTGAAAAATATCACGTTTAATATATTTCCATGAAAGACCAAAGATCCAGATGTCCAAAGATTCATTTTGTTAAAATGGACATCCAATACAACTAATGTATATTATCATTTTTATCACTTTTTAAATAAAAGAACACCCAGTGTCCACCCAGAATCCACCTCCCCCAGTCATCCAAGCAGTCATCGTCAAAATTGTACATGTCCATTCAAATTACATGGCACAAATAAACGACAGCATATAAGGCACAAATAAACGACAGCATATAAGAGTTAATTCGAGGGTTTTCGATTTGGGTAGAAACGTTTGGACCAGCTTGCTACTGCGGGACTGCCTATTTGGGTGACAGAGCTGGATCTATGGACCCACGACGAGAACATTCGAGCTGACTGGTATGAAACTGCTCTTCGAGTACTGTTCAGTCACCCAGCTGTTGAGGGCATCATTCTGTGGGGATTCTGGGGTCCAGATCATTGGCGAGGTCCAGATGCAGCTCTCGTGTCTGGTAATAACTTTCAGGTGTGTATTCCCAAAATTTCAATTATTGCAACAGAAAGAAGTGCAATTGTATTGAGAACAAATGATGAAATGTGTTGAAAAACATCTTTTGATTTATAATGATTCATCGGTAATCATATCTATTCGTTAGACATCACTTTAGAGTGTCTTCGTCTCATTAGAAAGGGAAGGAGAAAGGACTGTGGGTAGCCTTGTTATGTGAAACAGGATTTCTTTTTTTTCTTCTTCAATTTTCTTATTTTCGCTTTCACGGTAGAAATTACCCTTGGAATATACTAAGCAGCAAAAGAAACGTCAGTTTGGAATTTTCCTTCGCAGAAACGGATAACTGTAAACTCATTTAATGTTTTGATTGTATTTTTTTGACAACATCTCCAACTTTGTACCTGAGCAAAGACATTCCTTCCCAATGGAACCCAATGGAACCCCGGAAATGGTCTCAAAAACGCCACCTGATCTCGGAGATGGTACGGTGTTCTCCATGTTTTTCATGCAACTCGTGCTGCACGTGCTGTTCACAAGGTCCAGCCCTATAAAATGCACCCCCAAACCTGGTTGAAACATTCACATTACAACGTCAGCAGGATGCCCATTCTCACGACAGCTCAGAGGCACCAGGTGCTAGGAAGACTTGAAGCTGGCCACACTGCACAAGCCGTTGCCAATCACTTCCAGGTCAACGTTCGGACCATCTACAGGCTGCAACAACGTTTCCGGACCACCAACACCACAAATGATCGCCCCCGTACTGGCAGACCAAGGGTGACAACAAGACGACAAGACCACCATGTTGTGCGACAGCATGTACAGAATCCCTTCATGCAGACATCCGAAACAGCACGCCAGACAGTGGGAACACACGGAAGACCAGCCAGTACTGATACAGTACGCCGACGTCTTAACAGCGGGAACCTCCATTGTCGTAGACCTATACCGTGGACCTATCCTCACCCCTCGTCATCGGCGTGAACGTCTACAGTTTGCCATACAACACCAAAACAGGCGATACAGGCATTGGAGAACTGTTCTGTTCACAGATGAGAGTCGGTACTGCGTATCAACTACAGATGGCAGAACAAGAATATGGCGACGACGTGGACAGTGTTACTTAGACCAATGTGTTATGGAAAGAGACTCATTGGGAGGTGCAAGCATCATGGTATGGGTTGGAATAGGCCTGAACCAGAGAGTGGGTCTTGTGGTGTTCCAGAACCTTGGTCCGGGGAGAGGAGGCAGCATCACAGCGGTGCGCTACATCGACCAAGCTCTCTGATCCCACGCTATACCACATAACGCCCGGGCCCATACTGCCAGAGCTACACGGGACTTCCTACAGCAGAACGGTGTCAACATTATGCAGTGGCCAGCCCTTAGTCCTGATTTAAACCCAGTTGAATATCTTTGGGATGAAATTCAGAGGAGACTGAATAATGTCATACCAAGGCCGAACACAGCCGATTTATTGCTCGAGGCCTTTTTCAGAGTGTGGTTCAAGGTACCAATGGCCTTCATCAATCGGTTGGTGCACTCCATGCATAGACGCTGTGCTGCAGTTATTGCCGCTCGTGGTGGTCACACTAGATACTGAAGTCAAGAGTCTGAATGGACTGCAAACGTTCACGTAATGTCTTGGAATTGTGCTGAGTTATTCATTGATGTGTCAAGATATTGTACGCAAACAATGTTTTTGGTCCGTTTATTATGTCCATTTTGTAATGATTTGATTACAGTGCTTATCTCGTTTTGAATTCGTACTGGCGTTTTCTTTGCTGCACAGTATATTATGTATTCTCTTAACTCAAGTTTATCTTGACCTCTCTTCTCATACATTGTTTTGTTGAGAATAGTCATGCCAAACAAGCAAACATGGTTGAGTGAGTGTGCGAGTAAGTATTGTTTAACGCCACCTTTAGCAATATTCCAGCAATATCATGGCGGGGACACCAGAATGGGCTTCACAGATTGACCCATGCGGAGAATCGAACCCGGGTCTTCGGCGTGACGAACGAACGCTTTAACCACTAGGCTACCCCCACCGCCCCCAAACGTGGTTGAGAGTAATGAGTGCGTAAGAGGTTCTAGCATTACTGCAAATATCCAGAAGTAACTTATATGATGGTGCAAAATGGGCCTTTTAACACGCTTAAGATACATGTATCTCTAGTTCAATGCTGCGGGAAAGAGATACATCGACCTCCTCTACAAGGAATGGAGTACACACGTCACACACAAGGTGTCATCAGGGACACAGTTTAACGTCAGAGGTTTCCATGGTGACTACAAGGTCGTCGTCAAATACCATGGCAACCCGGTGATGCAGCAGTCTTTTACCCTGGGGAAACAGGACAAACAAGTTAACATCCAGATCACCAACGTCAACCGTGAGTCTGTTTGCGTTCTGCTATTGTCAATCAATCTCACTATACACTGAAAAAACTTCGTCAAATCATTTTCATATGTTCAGGAGCTGGCTGATACATCCTAAAGAAAAAGAAAGAAAATCTTTCATGAAGAATTTTATCTGCAACTTGCAAAAGTTATTCTCCCTATAAGCATTCCGAACAGTGGTGCTACATTTTAGCATCTACGACAAAGACTGAACAAAAGTTAAATGTTGACATATGGTATCGACAGCATATGTCTAAGCAATATCATTTTGGTTTGTTTGTTGTGTAACGCCGCATTCAGCAATATTCCAGCTATATGGCGGCGGTCTGTAAATAATCGAGTCTGGACCTGACAATCCAGTTATCAACAGCATGAGCATCGATCTCCGCAATTGGGATACGATGACGTGTCAGTCAAGTCAGCGAGCTTGACCTTCCGATCCCGTCAGTCGCCTCTTACGACAAGCATTGGTTACTGAAGGCCAATTCTAACCCGGATCTTCACGGGTCAATAACATATGTTTCATAACATGTTGAAAGCATATTTATCTATATACACTCCATCTTTGTGCCAACAGACGTCATTCAGATCCAGACAACACAGTCACCTGTCAGTCACCCAGTTTCAATACAGAATCCAGTCGATCATATTGGTGAAAATACAATGGGTCACATGACCTCTGGCTCATCCAATCAGATGACGTGTATGTCCAGATACTCGGGATTCACAGAAGTCGGAGATGATAAGGAGGCAGAAGTGTCCTGTCCATCAGGATATGTTCTGACTGGGTGCTCGGGGAAAATCAAGGTACACTATTTCATTAATAACAGAACACTGGATGGTTCCATATAGCGATTCTGAACGTTAAAGGCATCCTTTGCTTTCAACATTACTACAGTCGAACCGGTAACATCTGTTTGTTGGCTTGTAGGACAAAGCCATGTTGTCTCTGAACTTTGGCAAGCTGATGTTTGGCAAGAAGTATGTGAGTCACGATCATCTCTGTGGAATCATCCTCTGGTTCATAACTTACGGAGATAACAAACTGTCCCACTTAACACCTGATATTATTCTAGAGACTCAGTAGACAGGGAGGATATTCCTGTGAAAGGTTGAAATGAGAAACATTGTTGCCCTTAGGTAACGTGATTAAAGGGACAGTTAGTATATATATAGCTGTATGAATGTGGCTCATGTGTGGCCCTATTGTCCGAGGCACCGTAATTTCTGTTTAATTTAATTTAATTCATGTCCGAAATTTATGATCGTTGATTCAAAAACTGGTTCGTCCTGTTTATGTCTCCTGGTTTGTCAGCACCGATGTGGTGAAAATCTTAGATCAACATCATTGCAGGTTCTCCTCTGACATCAAGCCGAGACGCCCTGGAATAACTGACATATTGATCAGACCACTCTTAGACCGCCTTACACACTCTCTAGAAATATATGAAGGAAGATGGTGGAATATTGATGTTTCTCTACACATATGTCCTGTTTGTAAATTTGGTATAGAGGATGAATTCCACTTTCTTTTGGTATGCAAATATTATTGTGAAGAAAGATTACGTTATTTTCCACATGCTTACAACCAAATTCCAAATATATTTATATTCAAAAGCCTGTTAACTTCCGCTTCAAATGAAGCATTATTAAATTTATGCAAATTCATATACACTGCTTATAATCAGAGACAGACTTTGTTAAACTCTTAATTGTTTTACGTCATGTTTCCAATATATTCTGACTGTATATATGTTATATGTATATGGGCCGGTGGCCTTCATGCATAATAAAGATCTCTGACTTTGACTACACACTCCCTCTAATTTAAACTAAGGAAAAAAGTAAGCTGTTGCCTTCAGACACAAAGCATCATGATAACGTGTGTGATTTTCTATACAGAATAGTCAAGACACGCGGGACGGTGAGACTATCAGTGTGGTCGGCGGGGTCGCTAAATGCCAAGTTTACGATGGAACCGGCACCACAGCACGTACGTACAAACTGAAATACCTTATGGTTAAGACAAATTCATGGACATATTACGTTTAGACAGCTATCCAGTGAAGTGCATTGGTGTGTGACATGTATGTGGTATGTGGTATGTGGTTGTGTGGCATGTATAAATAAGTTACATGGTTGTGTGAAATGTATAAATGGAGTATATGGTTGTGTGATATACGACGTAATTATACACGTAAGAACGACTCCGTTACAGCGGCACAGGCAGTGGCGAGATGTTGTAAACTGACGGGGCTCAAGTGTGACTACCGGAAGTCAGGGCCTTCACGGGACGTATTGAACCAACGGATTGAAACCAGATGTGAGAACAACATGTTTGCGACAGGTAGGGCATTTGAATATGCGTGGCATTCTCACAAATGATCATGAATTGCTAGTAGCGTCTTTAGTGAGGCGAAATTATTGCGACTTCGAGACTTCTGTGTTACTTATTCTCGTCTTCAGGATGTTCAGCCCATTCTTGGTTTGCATTCATGGACGGGACGTTCCCAACCACACACTCCTGTATTGCCCAGAACTCGGAAAACCACGGCAGTAAGTCGTATTTCTTGTGGTGGAGCGTCTTATCTTCATCCTCACACTAACTGGGGCGATGGTGTAGCCTTGTTGTTAAAGCTTCAACTCGTCACGCCGGAGACCCGGGTTCGATTCCAAACATGGGTACAATGTGTGAAGCCCATTTCTGGTGTCCCCGGCTGTGATATTGCTGGAATATTGCTAAAAGCGGCGTTAAACCATACTCACTCAAACTAAGTGACATGTGATATATTTATGAAACATTATGCATACTGTTTTAGGAAGGTTTAGATGAAGTTGCTTAAAAGGTAACACAAATAGACACACCTGGAATCATTTCTAGTGTACGAAACTTTATCATTTTTGTCTTTTCAGATGTAGAGGCGTCTGCTGTCTGTTGCTCTGCTCCCCATCTCACATGCCAGGTGAAGACCTCTAGTCCCTCAGGCGACAAGCTGGGAGATCAGAGAGGGGTGTCATGTGACCAGGGCTGGCAGCTCGTCGGGTGCTCGGCCTATTCAGAGGATGGGAAGCTTGGAGGGGCATATACAGGAGGTATATATATATGCCCATATATTGATGATTGAGTGAGTTGAATTTTACGCCGCACTCAGCAATAATCCAGCTATATGACGGCGGTCTGTAAATAATCGAGTCTGGACCAGACAATCCAGTGATCAACAGCATGAGCATCGATATACGCAATTGGGATACAATGACATGTGTCAACCAAGTCAGCCAGCCTGACCACCCGATCCCGTTATAGTCTCCTCTTACGACAAGCATGGGTTACTGAAGACCAATTCTACACCGGATCTTCACGGGTCCATATATTGATGACTTTTCGTGATGATTTGACTGACCGGGGTTTCCGAGATAATATATTTAAAAAAGGTATATTTCTTTTATTTAATACATTTTACTCACAGGTAATCCCGAGCAGTGTATCGCTGTGAACGGAGCTCAGCGACTGTACAACGAGATGGGTGTTGTGGCCTACGCCACTTGCTGCCGTGTAAACTAATAGCAACCAATGAATAAAATATCGCATATTGTTTGTTGTTGTGTACTTTTTTCACTTAATGAAATTAAAAGGAATTAGCAGTGCTTATATAACACACTTTAGGAATAGTTTTATATGTTCGATTATATACACGACACCAAAAATATTCTTTCGACATTACAATCAACACGCTCGCCAAATGTAAGCGTAAACCGTTAGCACTTCAGATGGAACGTTGATCAACAGTTGTATAAATCGACTGTGTCTTTTTCTGGTTTTAAGTTCTATTTATGGGTCTGTGGCATGTTATACTTCAACCTGTTGTTGGCATTTTCACAAAATCTGCACTTGTTCACGTTAATACTTATTTAAGAACAAGTATCAGTTATATGTGGTTGTTAAAAGACATGACACAAGACAAAAGTTCGGGGCAGACATAATGAAGAGATTGGTTATTGGTTCGGTTCCCGATGGCGTTAGCGTTGGCCTTGGCGTTCCCTATGCTGATCCCAGCCACAAATTGTTCAATGCTTTTAACGAGATTTGGCATATGCGTTGCTCAAATTTTTTGCTATTTCAATGTTTATCAAAATTCTATTTTTATGTTTCCATATGAACAATTTCGACTTTGTGTCACGGGGTAGGGTCCATTTAAAGCGTTTTTCTAAACACTAGTTTGTTATGTTTCCGTGGAAACAATTTGCATTTGCATGAAACCATGTGCGATGACTACACGGTCAACTACTGCCTATTCCAACCATTTTTTTTTCATATTTTTCTAACTTCTTATCTTTTCTTAATTCTCAAGGGTCTTCTACTAAGATTCTTCTACTGATCACGAAGTTAAACTGGTAATTACGGGTACATCCAAACTAATGTTACGTTGGTTATATCTAACAGATTATATCTGTGATAAAACTTTCCATTTTCAAAATGTGGAAGCCCCGGTAACTGAGTGGGTTAGATGGCTGACTACTGGTTATTACGTACCTCACTATGAGTGAGTGAGTGAGTGAGTGAGTTTAGTTTTACGTCGCACTCAGCAATATTCCAGTTATATGGTGGCGGTCTGTAAATAATGGAGACTGGACCAGACAATCCAGTGATCTACGCAATTGGGATACGATGACATGTGTCAACCAAGTCAGCGAGCCTGACCACCCGATCCCGTTAGTCGCCTCTTACGACAAGCATCGGTTGCTGAAGACCAGTTCTAACACGGATCTTCCCGTGTGTCTTAAGGCTTAGGTGAACGTATCCATACATTAACATAGAATTACGACAGTCGTAGAACTGAGGTTGTTAACAGTACCAAAATCTTAACACAATATATTGCCATATAAAATGATGGCTTACTTTCATTTATTTATATTTCCAAGATGTTAACATGATAAGATAAAGCCTGTGGCAATCATGTAGGTATGTGTCAAAGTTCAAAACTCCTTATCTAGTAGCCTAACCTCTCAAATTTGAGATAAGTAACAATTGTTGTTGAGAACAGGTAAGACCACAGAACATGGTTCTGTGGGTATCTGCGTTTTGTGTTCTGTTCTGCTATGTGTCGGCAGCAACAGAGCTGTTACAGAATCCAGGTTTCGAGGCACCAAACCCCACATCCGGCTGGACATGTGCTGGATGTTCAATGAGTGTGTCCAGTGACCATCATGGTGGCAATCACGCTGTCAAAGTCTCGGGTCGGTACGTAGCGTAAATTGGGATTGGAGGATAGAGGCACCGGTAAAACATAAAACTTGAAATATTATACCTTGATTTTATATTCAGTAATTATCGCTGAGCTTTATTATTTTGCTTCATAATGAATGGCTAGTTCTTTCCAATTGTACCATTGTTTTCATTGTTTGTCGCAAGTACTTGAATATAACACAATCCTTTATTCATGATGTCTTATTATGTCGTTCCAACAACACTACCTGAGATCAAGAAACACAAACGTTTCCACATTTCATCAGAAAGCATACAACATATACTACAAAGAAAGCCTTACCCGCATATACTACAAAGAAAGCTTTACCCGCAACTCGGAAACACAGATTATCTGTCCCTAAAGAAATAACATGAAGGATTCTCACCAAGGCATGGAACAACGTTAACTCACTCGTGGCAGACAGTCCGTAATTCCTTGTAGCTTAGATTATCTCTAAATACTAACAACTTATTTCTCCTTTGGAACTTTAACACATCAAAGTCATACAAAATCTAATATAAATCCAATAGTAGAAATGCACAGCACTGTTGAATCTTTAAAACCTAAGCAGACGTCCAGCATGTGTGGCTGTGTTCATATATATCTCTAAAGGACCGCCATTGGCTGCCCGTGAAATACAGAATCTCCTTCAAAGTCCTCTGTCTCGCATACCAGTGTATGACAGACACAGCTCCAGTCTACCTCCCAGATCATCTCAGGATTATGTACCACCTAGATCACTGAGATCAGTGCCTTGTTGTTATCCCAAAAGTCAAACAAGCTAAATATGGACACCTATGCTGTTGCCAAAGAATGGAATGACCTCCCTCAGTTCACCCGATCCAGTTCCGACTATCAGACATTCAAATCTTTCCTAAACACTCACTTCTTTAAACAAGCCAAAAGCTAGTTTTCAGCTATTTAGTCAACTAGTGCGTTTTGAGCATTATATAAAGCCTGAAAAGGCGTGTTATAAATATTATTATTATTCTTTTTATTATTATTATTATTATGATATCTGTGGTGTCCTTCCTCTGTCGACACAGCCAGGCCTACTGGGCAGGAGTGGAGCAGGTCGTTCCTCTGTCTCCCAACACACGGTACCACATAGTGGCACACCTCAAGCAGCTCAACAACCTGCCAGACAAGATGTACCAGGAGTACTCCATACTGATGCAATCTCTCACTGACAATGGTGAGATGTTCTTGTATCCTGAACCCGTGAAGATCCGGACAGAATTGATCTTCAGCAACCCATGCTTGTCGTAAGAGGCGACTAACGGGCTCGGGCGGTCAGGCTCACTGACTTGGTTGACACATGTCATCATATCCCGATTTCGCAGATCGATGCTTATGCTGGTGATCACTGGATTGTCTGGTCCAGACTCTAATATTTACAGACCGCCGCCATGTAGCTGGAATATGGCCGAGTGCGGCGTAAAACTAAACTCACTCATTCTTGTACCCTAAATATGATTAACTCGGCTGGTTTGTTGACCCCGATAAATATGCATGAGTGGGGAGAGTCTCATTATATTCTAGGACTGTATCAGCCTTTGCGGTAAATGCAATGGTATTGTAATGACTTGCCGAGTTAGCCCCTTGAATATTGCTGCCACCACTTGCGAAAGTGACTTGGCGTCGTCAGGTTAATTTCTTTAACCAAACCAACCAGTATTTATTATTTTTCGTGACAATTAGCATATTTTCTTAATTGTTTTTACAAATGTTTCCGTTATTGGTCCGTAGTAAATTAATCCTCGTTGGTTATGCTTGGGAATGTAAATTCTCGAAATGAATAAACAGGAAATCACCCTTTCCCCAAAGTCTCTACCCGCGGAATTTACAATCCTAAGCGTAAGTTCAGAGTCGTGCTTTATCACAAGCCCAACAGTCTGTCTCGATTGAAACAGAACCACTTTGTCAAAAATATCTTTTATATACATTTTGAGTATGATGTGTCAATAAGACGTCATTTTTGTTGTATTCTCTGATTTGTCATTTGTAGGCACCCGGCTGTACGACACCATTGTTGTTGACAAGACCATCTCCACAAGGACTGGCTGGGCATCACTCGACTGCTTCATCATCTACACGTATACAGGTTGGGAAGCGTGGCTGTAGTACATGGAATATAACGGCTGTCATTATGTGGGTGTGGAGCATGGGTCGTCTAAGCCTCAAAGGTGCCGCAAATCGCCAACAAACATAGCTTCCATTCCCTGACTATATGGGTTAGGAGGATTTATCAACATATATCCGAGGTCTTGGGTTCCACCAAAGTGGTAACAATCTGTCTTTAACACTTCAGGCTTTCCCCCGCATCAAATTGACTTGTTGTGATGTAACTGAAATCCTGTTAATAGCGACTCACTGATTCACTTAGTAGTGTTTGTGTAACCATTGATTCTGTGAGTTTCGGTTACAGAAAGTACTATATCCAGACAGTCACTGTAATAGAATATAAATGTGACAGATCACACAGCATTGATGTCTGGTAGTCGTTATGGTGTACTAGTAATCGCATAGTAATTTACCTGAGTTGCAGGTCTATATGCAATATAAATGGAGAGAAGCTGCATTGGTGTGAGTGAGTGAGTTTAGCTTTACGCCGCTTCAGGCAATATTCCAGCAATATCACGGCGGGGGACACTAGAGCTCTCCACACAAAGTACCGATGTAGGGAATCGATCCCGGGTCTTCGGAGTGACGAGCGAACGCTTTAACAATTAGGCTACCCTACCACCCCCGAAGCTGCATTGGAAGATGTGCACAGAAGAGAATACAGATTGTTATCAAGATATAGGGAAACACCGTTGTGTCGAAGTTGTAAGCACCTAAGGAAATACTTCGAGTTATGCGAGGTTCCGCGCAAACACAAACTGGTGACTAAACAAGATATACAAAGGAACAAACCCTTACACAACCGTGATTTCAACACATCACACTTCCAGACACAGTAGTGTTTGACTGTAGATCGTATAAATGTTAACACAAAGTAAATTACAGATCTGAACAACATACAGTGGTTAATTCTAGGATATATGACACTGTTTTACAGTATGTACAAGTATTTATCAGTATTTATGAAATGTATGCAGAGTTCATGTTAATCGTGTACAGGTATTAAGGAAGTCCGACTGAGGGTGAGGGGTTCAGACGCTGCAATTAACTTCCTGGTTGACGACGTATCTGTCACGGAAGTACCCGAAAACAAGAACTGGAAGTCAGAGTCGGACATTAGGATCGACCAGCTCAGAAAAAGCAACGTCAACTTTACGTATGCACCTTGATTTTTCTGAAATGCTGGATGATGTTTACACTAGTCTAGAGAGTCTATCCCATGAATACCTTCATCAGTTGTGTAGAAGTGGCTTTTTGTTTCTGTTTCTTCGGCAATAAGCACTATGACTAAAAGAACCACATTGGTCATTATTTGGGACCGTTCAAAATTATGTCTGGGGGGTAACCCCGTGATAATGATTTTAAGGTGTGTGTGGGGTGGGGTGGTGGGGGTGCGTCACTTAGATTTTGGACTCACTTTGTACATTTGATTTGATTTGATTTGATTTGATTTGATTTTTTTATTTTATTTTATTTTATTTTATTTTATTTTTTTATTTTATTTTATTTTATTTTATTTTATTTTTTTTATTTTATTTTTATTTTTTATTTTATTTTATTTTATTTCATTTTATTTTATTTTTTATTTATTTGTTTTGTTTTGTTTTGGGTTTTTTTCTGCATAAAATCATTATCACCACCCCAACCCAACCCCCCTGGTAATAAATTATGAATGGTCCCTTAGGGCTACTTGCTCCAACAACATCACATGCAGGATCATGTGTGACGACGATCTGTTGATAATCGAGTCTGGACCAGACAATCCAGTAATCAACAGCATGATCATCGATCTACGTTGTGTCCCATGTTACTGATCCGAGTTAGACATGGTTGTCGCAAGAGGCCATTAGCTTAATTTCGTGGTTGTCATGGTATACCCATTGCGTAGATCGATCCTAGCATTGTCAATTACTGGATTGTCTGGTCCATACTCGAGTTTGTACTGACCGTCGTCATATGGCTGGAATATTGTTGAGGGCGGCAATAAACTCAAGACGAATAAACAAACATCGCTTATAGTTCTAAAGTAATTTTCCAAAACTGAAAAATCACAACCATTCGGACAGACAGATCGGAATGCAATATACAATAACGCAATCTTTACAATCGGAAGTTTTACCTTGTTTTTCACCTGAACTCAAAAATATGGCTGACATAAACAGGTTATACTTTTCCTCCATTAATTTTCCTGACCATGACAACATGTACACACAATCGCTTTCATTGTTATTGGAATCATTCCAAACACGCGCCATATTGGGTACATACACTGAATAGCTAACAGTTAGAGTTATTTCCCCTACATCAGTCACGCAGCATTTTTTCCTTCCAGGGTGAAAGTTCCATCCCATGCATCCTTCGCTGACTTGGATATACAGGTGAATCAAGAGATGAGTCAGTGTATTGTACTACCGACTGTCGACTGTCTATTGGGAATCTATGCATAGTGCAGACATGTTGATATTAGCACTGTAAGAAGTCACCATACACAGAATTAAATCAGGGGCAAAGGTCTGACATGAACCTCATATTCAGTACTAAAACGATGACACCTAACTTGCTCCGTGAAGAGCGCTGGAAAGATATCATATAAATAAATGTTTCTTTATTGATTGCAGGGGCACCAGAGGGCATATAGATAAAGGAATTAATTACAATGTGTGAAATCCATTCCTAGTGTTTCTCACGATATTGCTGGCATATTACTAAAGCTGATTAAAACGCCCCCAAACGTTTATCGATTTCAGATCGACTTGACTCGCCACGCGTTTCCGTTCGGGTCCCAAACCACGTGGCAGACAATGGCACAGTATTCGCATTATAATGATCTGTTCTACTACATGTTCAACTGGGCTACCCTCTCCAACTACTACTGGCACAGCTCACCGCCACCAAGGGTACATGCCAACATGATATTTATCGTCTTATCCCTACACTTTACATCACGTAAACCCACTTCCCATTAAGGTCTGGCTCACCGAATCTACATCCTGCAACCGTGTCATCTGAATCATTTTTATTCACTACTTAACGTCATATTCACCTTCACAATAATGGATACTTTGTCTTTAAAACCATTCAGTAAACAAAGCTTCAATTGAATGCCGACCCGTGAAGATCCGGGTTAGAACTGGTCTTCAGCAACCCATGCTTGTCGTAAGAGGCGACTATAACGGGATCGGCTGGTCAGGCTGGCTGACGTGTCTATGTACCGTCAGCAAACGTGTTTGCATGACATCAGTAATGTTGCTTGCATTGTGTCAACAATGTATGTATCACCTTAAACGAATGTTTTAATAGCGGCAACAATAATGTCTATTGTGCTTCCGATTTGATGTCTGTATTATGTCAACAGGGTCATCGTATCCCAATTGCGTAGACCGATGCTCATGCTGTTGATCACTGGATTGTCTGGTCCAGACTCGATCATTTACAGACCGCCGCCATGTAGCTGGAATAAAGCTGAGTGTGGCAACTAAACCAACCCAAACCAAAAACCAGTGAATGACTTTATAAGTATGAAAACTCGAGGCGAGTATTACTGCGCACAACCAGACACATAAACGAATATCGATATATATATATATATACATTCATGGTCATTGCTTTCAGGACAACCCTGACTACAGTAATGCAACTCATGCTCTGGATGTCCTCCATCAGCATGGGTATGTTCATGGGTGATGGTGATGGTGCTGTGTGTTTGTGCGTATGAGTGTGTCGGTGTTTGCCCTTAACCCTGAAAAGCTGCAGGTTCATAAAAAGGTTATGGGTCCTGATCAGAATGTGTAGGCCCTATAGTTTAGCTTCAATATAAGTAATTACCAGCAAATAAAAATGTGACAACTAACAAACTGAGTTTATAGAGTTTAAAGATCATATCTCAGTAATCTAAATTGCTTCCTCGAAACTGATAGTCGTTTCACTTACAGCTGCCGATCGAGATAAAAACTAGAAATTGCTGAATTATATTTTCTGAAAAATAACAATCTTAGTTTTGGGGTATGAAAAAGCTCTCGGCCATAAGGACCTGCAGAATACAAAAGCTGTGTGTCCGAGTGGTTTTCAGTCGGCTTCGGGCCTAAGGACCGACCTTAATTTCGAACGCTGGGTGTACCTGTCTGAGGTAGGTTTGGATGTACATGTGGGATGCGTCTGTGGGTTTTGCATGTGGGTATATGTATACTAAGCAGCCAAAGAAACGTCAGATTGGAATTTTCCTTGACAGAAACGGATAACTGTAAACTCATTTAATGTTTTGATTGTATATTTGTGACAGCATCTCTAACTTTATCTGAGCAAAGACATTCCTTCCAAAACTCAGAATGGAACCCAGGAAATGGTCTCAAAAACGCCAGCTGATCTCGGAGATGGTACGGTGTTCTCCATGTTTTTCATGCAACTCATGCTGCACCAGCCCTATAAAATGCACCTCCAAATCTGGTTGAAACATTCACATTACAACGTCAGCAGGATGCCCATTCTCACGACAGCTCAGAGGAACCAGGCGCTAGGAAGACTTGAAGCTGGCCACACTGTACAAGTTGTTGCCAATCACTTCCAGGTCAACGTTCGGACCATCTACAGGCTGCAGCAACGTTTCCGGGCCACCAACACCACAAATGATCGCCCCCGTACTGGCAGACTAAGGGTGACAAGACCGCCTTGTTGTGCAACGGCATGTACAGAATCCCTTCATGCAGGCATCCGAAACAGCACGCCAGACAGTGGGAACACACAGAAGACCAATCAGTACTGATACAGTACGCCGACGTCCTAACAGCGGAAACCTCCTTTGCCGTAGGCCTTACCGTGGACCTAACCTCACCCCTCGTCATCGTCATGCACGTTTACAGTTTGCCATACAACACCAAAACTGGCGATACAGGCAATGGAGAACTGTTCTGTTCACAGATGAGAGTCGGTACTGCGTATCAACTGCAGATGGCAGAACAAGAATATGGCGACCACGTGGCCAGTGTTCCTCAGACCAATGTGTTATGGAAAGAGACTCATTGGGAGGTGCAAACATCATGGTATGGGTTCGAAAAGGCCTGAACCAGAGAGTGGGTCCTGTGGTGTTCCAGAAGCTTGGTCCAAGGAGAGGAGGCGGCATCACAGCGGTGCTCTACATCGACCAAGCTCTCTGACCCCACGTCATACCACATTTCGCACGTTACCGGAACAACATTTTCAAGCATGATAACGCACGGGCCCATACTGCCATATAGCCCATAGAGATACACGGGACTTCCAACAGCAGAACGGTGTCAACATTATGCAGTGGCCAGCCCTTAGTCCTGATTTAAACCCAGTTGAACATCTTTGGGATGAAATTCAGATGAGACTGAATAATGTCGTACCAAGGCCGAACACAGCCGATCTATTGCACCAGGCCTTTTTCAGAGTGTGGTTCCAGGTGCCAATGGCCTTCATCAATCGATTGGTGCACTCCATGCATAGACGCTGTGCTGCAGTTATTGCCGCTCGTGGAGGTCACATAGATACTGAAGTCAATTTTCTGAATGGACCGCAGACGTTCGCGTAATGTCTTGGAATTGTGCTGAGTTATTCATTGCTGTGTCAAGATATTGTACACAAAAAATGTTTTTGATCCGCTTATTATGACCATTCGTACTGACGTTGTGTTTTGCTGCTGAGTATATGTGCGTGTGTGGGAATTGGGTGTGGTTTATGTGTGGGTAGTGGGTGTTCTTTTGGGGTGTGGGATTTGGGCGTTCTTGTGGGGTGCATGTGTGTGATTTGGATATGAGGTGTATGTGTAGGTAGTTGAGTGGGTGTTCCTGTTGAAAGATGCCATCGCATAAATAGTGGTAAATCTATTATCGCTAAGTTTAGAGATTATGGCGCTAAAGACTCGGTCACATCAATGCTGTGTGAGGATTTTTCGCTACCTGTTCGAAATAAACGTAAAAAGTTAGAGTTAGAAAGGGACAGAGCACGAAACCAGGGAGAAAAATGTCGATTAAGATTTGATAAATTGGTATTTGAAAACGGTTCAGTTTTAACATATGATTTAGAAAAGAACTGTGTTGTTGAAGTCGCCAAAACACGGCCCTATTCAACTGATACAACAGATTCAGTCAGGTGCACGTGGATATCACGACGAGGAGTTTCACTCACCAGGTCACCAGCGTCAACGTGATCGCAGATAGGATGTAGGCCGGGTCAGAGGCGTTGTAACTGGTCATTACTGACATGGAATGTTCATGGTCTTGCAAACAATATTCTTAATATTAATTTCATAGAATTTTGTACTTCGTTTGACATTGTCGGGTTCAAGAATCATGGAGTAACTGTGCAAACGATACAATAGAACAACAGTTCACTGATTACACAGTATATCGACATGTAAGAGATTATAATAGTAGAGGTGGAGTTTTATTACTGATAAGAAGCATTTGGCAAAAAGGAATTAAATATGTTAATACTTCTTTTAGTGATAGCATTTATGTTCTTCTTGACTCGAAGGTATTTGGCTTCCCAAGAGATGTTTTACTTGGTATCGTGTATGTACATCCTTATGCATCCTCAGTCAAGTCTGATACTCGTAATGTCAAAGGGATTGATTTCATTGAGTCGTGCCTTGTACAGTTGTTGTCACTATTCTGTGATGTTGATGTAATACTTGCAGGTGATTTGAATGCGAGAACAGGTTTACTGGACGACTTTATTTTACATGACGATGACGAAAGTGATTCTTACATTAGTGTTTTGAATGACATGAATTACCAAAGAGATTCCTTTAGATCTCCAAGGAGGTCAAGAGACAAAGACGTTAACACTTATGGTATAGCCTTATTAATCTTTCCTGTTTACTAGGCATACATATGTTAAATGGTCGTTTCTCTGGCGATGCTGACGGTAGTTTTACTTGTCATACACAGAACGGTGGAAGTCTGATTGATTACATTTTGTGTTCCAGTCAAATCTTTGAAATAATTGATAACTTTGAAGTGGTTACCCGCACAGATCAGAGTTACTTCAATAGATCAGAAAATCGTGTTAGTGAAGATGACGGGGTTGTTCACCAAATTTATAGATATAAGTGGAAGCCGTCAAAATATGATATATTTCTTTAATCTCTCAGTGCACGTATATCTCTGTTGAAAATGAACGATTTTTCTGCTATATCAAATAAGCACACGGGTGAAGATGCTAATAAACTTATAAACATTCTCAAAGAAAGCGGAAAAGACGCAAACATGTTATTAAGAAAACGTGTCACTAAAGAAATAAGTGAGGTATGGTACGACCATGAGTGTAAAGACTTAAAGAAAAGAAAGTATTCAGCATTAGATAAATTCCGAGTCACAGGGAACTTCAACTATCTTACCGAATTTAGAATTTATAGAAACAAATACAGAGAAGTTTGCCGTAGGAAGTGTGATTGCTATCACGAGTTTACAACCATACAATTATTACAATCATGTCAGGATGGTAACTATAAAACATTCTGGTCTGGTGTTAAGTCATTATTAGGTAAACCGGTTACACAGGCTACATCTATCAGCAGTTTGCAATGGGTCGCTTACTTTATAAATATTCTGAACATTAAAGATGTTAACATAGACGAAGATTTTATAACCTTTGCCAAACAGTATATGTTGCAAAATGAATTTACATTGATTTTTGATGATTCTAATAATATTCTAAATCAAGAGATAACCATAAATGAAATAACAAATGCATTATCAGCTTTAAAACTTGGCAAAGCATGTGGTCCTGATGGACTACCTCCTGAAATGTGGAAACACGGAGGTCATATTTTACTATTTTATTTGCATGTACTTTATATACTGAAAGCCATTAAAATGCAATTTGACATTCATACTTTCTTTACTCACACTAATTTCAACATATATAAACCTAACTGGCAGATATGTTTTAAGTGAACATCTGTGAATAATTTCATCTGAAAATGTCCAGTCAACAACAGCATCAGTGACGCAACAACGACATCACACAAAGGAGGGGTCACTTGCAGTCAATATCGTGTGTGTCCACCGTGCGCTGCAAGACATGCTCGCAGTCTTTGGGGCATTGAAAGACACACATTTCTCAGGAACAGCTGTTGGATGGTCTGCAGCCTCTGATGGTCTGTGGTCTGATCATGACACCACCCCCTCCAAAACGATCATGTTCAAGGACACAGTTTGGCGCAAGTCTTTCTCCTTTACGTCGATAAATCTGTTGACGTCCATCTGCAAAGGATAAGTTAAACCTGGATTCATCTGAAAAAATGACATCTGGCCATGTTCTGTTGCCAAGATTGGCCCCATTTGCTGCCCATCGCTGTCTGGCAAGTCTGTGACGATGCAATAAGGCAGGACCACGGTACGGGTGACGACACCGGATGTTGAAGGCAGCAAGGCGTCCTTGCACCTTTTGGGCGCTGAAATGACGTTGACTTGTCCCAATTGTCCTCCTTGCCTAATCATCAGCTGTTTGGAACCGATTTCGCAAGTGTGAAACTCATTAAAGTGCCTGGCAATCATCACATCTGAAGCACCTTGGCGGACCATACCGATAACCTGATTCCTTTCGTCTTGTGTCAAGTGTGGCATTTTCTCAAAGTGATTGAGTTCCACAATTCCTTGTGCTTTTACAGGGCCTGGGTGCAGGTAATGCATGTGCACAACTAGTTTCATGAATGTGGTTGTGTTTACGAGAAATGTCAAAGGTTCAGTTTTAAGTATAAAAGTTCATGTGAGAGGAATGCTACGGGACTCGAACTCGAAATGGGCCAGAATAACAGCCTTTTATCCCTACATCCTCTGTATCGCAGGAAAAAATCTTCAATAGAACTTTTGTAAGTTTCAGGACAACAAATACCAATTGCGTTTTTAATGGCTTTCAGTATAATTGTATTTTTAACTCGGGAGACTTTCCTTCTGCTTGGTCACAAAGTATTATCTTCCCACTTCACAAGAAGGGGAACAGAAATTATGTTAATAACTATAGAGGTATTTCCTTGATGGACATATGCGGAAAAATATTCACTTATATTTTAAATGAAAGACTGAAAGCATTTGTTGATGTGTATAGTTTAAATCCAGAATGTCAAGCTGGATTCCGCTCAGGCTATTCAACTGTTGATAATGTTTTTAGCTTACAGGTTTTAATTCAAAAATACTTGTCCAAGGCTTAGGGTCCGATTTTATTGTTTATTTGTTGATTTTCATAAAGCAATTGATTGTGTAAATAGAGATCTATTATGGTATGTTCTTTCTCAAAACAATATCCGTGGTAAAATGCTTTCAATAGTGCGTGACATGTACAATAAATCAATTTCAGCTGTAAAACAATCAAATTCTAGCATTTCGGAATATTTCAATTCCTTGAGTGGTGTACGACAAGGGTGTATACTCAGTCCATTATTAATAAGAATGTTTGTAAAACAACTTGAAGAGGATGTTGGAGCAGAATTTTTAGAGCTCTTTTTATTATTCCATGCTGATGATTTATGTATATTGTCTGACACAGTTATAGGTTTACAAAGAAAGATTAATATTTTATCCAAATTTTGCACAAAACGGGGCTTAAAGGTTAGTTTTACAAAAACAGAGATAATTGTTTTTCGCAACGGAGGTATAGTGAAGAAGATCGAAAAGTGGATGTTTAACCATGTGAAGTTGAAAACTATATGCTATTACAGCTATCTGGGTATTTTATTTTCCAGCAGACTATCTTGGTCAAAAGCAGTCCAGACTCTCGTTCAGAAAGCTAATAAAACCATTTTTCTAATTAAACAGCTTCATCATAAAATGAAAAATCTTTCTCCTACTGCCTTATTTCAAATGTTTGATACACAAATTAAGCCTATCTTATTATATTGCTCAGAAATATGGGGTTTTCAGAGTGGCTAATTCTAGAACGTTTTCATGTAAAATACTGTAAAATTGTTCTTGGTGTTGGTATTACCACAACAAATGCAGCTGTTTTATCTAAATGCGGTCGTCATCATATTTGTTGTCATTCTATAATAGGGTGTGTTAAGAACTGGTGTAAGTTATTAATAATGGAAGAGACTAGATATCCAAAACAAACCTATATTATGTTAAAAAGAATGGACGATATTAACTGCAAGTCATGGGTAACTGAAGTGAGGAAATTAATTTATATTTATGGTTTCAGCTGGGCGTTTCAAAATATTGTTAACACTGACTTATTTTTTAAACAGTTTTTTCAACGAGTTAAAGATTGTAAGATCCAGTGTATATTTTCTATGTTAAATGAACATTCTAATTTAGAGTTCTATCCATGTGTCAAAAGTACGTTTAATATGGAATCATACTTGTCAACATTATATAACAAAGATTTAAGAAGATTTGTATCACTTTTAAGATTCGGTGAATTAAATATTATGAAGAATACAGGTAGAAGAAATAATATCCCACGAGAATTAAGATTTTGTCCATTTTGTAAGAACATTTTAGAAGATGAGGTTCATTTTATGTTTATTTGCCCACAATATGATGATTTAAAAACAAGATACATGTTAAATATTGACTGTAAAGATGGAAACTCTCTCATTCGCCTTCTTCAAAATGAAAATAGCAATTATTTATATATGTATGCAAATCATATTAAGGAAGCGTTTATGCGACGTAACGCATTATTATTGTGAATATATAAAAGTATGTTCTAGTTATTGTGCACGTCATACCTTTTGTATTGTAATATATATTGTACATGGGCCTGTGGCCTTTCTACTGAATAAAGTTATATATATATCCTGTGGGGTGCATGTTGAGGGCTTCAGGTGCGGGGGTGTACGTAGAGTCAGCGGGAGTTCCGGTAGGATATAGGTGCTAGTGTGGAGTGCCGGTGCGTGTGCAGGTATGTGTCTGCGAGTGAAATCTAACGCGCTAACCTATGGTTGCTAGACAGTATGATCCTCTAGTCCAGTGATCAGTTCAGCAACACTATACAGTGCATTCATTATATACATCTGCATTCTCAATATAGTACTGTTTCGATCTATTTATTTCTACCTCAATGTTCCAATCCAGAATCCCTGTACGCGCGCACAATATGTTCTGGGCGGTGGAGAACCAGAATCCAGAATGGATCCGAACCCTGTCCCTGGACCAATTCAAGAAAGCGGTTAATGACAGGATTAACTACGCAGTTAAGGACACCAAAGGGAGGTAAGCGAGTGTACCAAGCTTTTCTCTCCACAGAACTTAGAACTCCTTAATCTACGTGAGAGTACATGCACAACATCAACTAATGAAAAGCAGAGGGACCTTTGTGAACGCTGCAGATAGGAATGACGTGTGTATATTGGTAAATAACACTGGCCATGGCTTTGCTGCAGATATGTCCGCATGAGTAATGCGTGATACTGCACATAGGGCGGTGGGTAGCATAGTGGCTAAAGCATTCGCTCGTCACGCCGAAGACCGGGTTCGATTCCCCACATGGGTACAATGTGTGAATCCTCGGGTGTCCCCCGCCTGATATTGCTAGAATATTGCTAAAAGCAGTGTAAAACGAAACTCACTCACTCATACTGCCCATCTGTTGCAGGGTCCAGCACTGGGACGTAATGAATGAGATGGTCCAGGGTCGATGGTACGAAGAGAAAACCAAGGATCCTGACTTCACCAAAAAGATCTTCGCTAAGATCCACCACGCAGACCCGAATGTCAAACTGTTCCTCAACGAGGATCACGTAGTCTCATCGGGAGTCTACACTTCGGTAGACACGTTGTATCCCTGTGGTTCATGTTGACGGATTTAATATAAATTGTTTGGTCGGTTTGTTTGTTGTTTAACACCGCAATCAGCAATATTCCAGCTATATGGCGGCGGTCTGTATATAATCCAGTCTGGACCAGACAATCCTTTGATCAACAGCATGAACATCGATCTACGCAAGTGGGACACGATGACCCTGTTGACATAATACAGACATCAAATCGGAAGCACAATAGACATTATTGTTGCCGCTATTAAAACATTCGTTTAAGGTGATACATACATTGTTGACACAATGTAAGCAACATTACTGATGTCATGCAAACACGTTTGCTGACGGTACATAGACATTATACATAATACAAGTTTCATACTTGACTTGTTGCAGACATCTTTTTGGACACAATACAAATAGCATTGATAACATGACACAAGGAGAATGTTTGGCATGATTCCTCAAGATGCCACAAACATCATTATTGACGCCATGCTTTTACTGGACAATGCATTCTTTATGGAAGATACTTCCGAGCCACGGATTCTAAAACTGTAATGTAGATATATATTAACCCATGTGTTTTATGCATCGTGGAACACAAATCTCTGACAACCGTTTGTAGGAATTTATACCTCAGCAACTATCAAATATACTTTGACCGTTAACCTCAGTATGCAACTTTACTGAGAATACTCAATGCCTTTTAGACAGTGTCAAATGAGACACGTTATATGTGGGATTATATTTCTTACAAATATGCAATTTCTAGTATTTTCGGGTTCTATCCCATACTGGATTTAAACCCACACTCCAAGAGTTAGGCTGCAAATCGCCAACACACAAAGTCGGCTTCCTAATTCTCAGCCATCGAAGCTTCTAGCCTCCAGCTTCAGCGGCTGAGCGGGTTAGAGAGATAAGAAACATATTGTAGAAACATTGTACTTAACTAAGCAATGTAATCTTATATATTAACTTTTGTCACTTCGGTTGCAACTGTTAAATATACAGAGGCATAGAGCACAGTTTTTGTGTTGTGTTTTGTTTTGTTTAAGGATTTGTTCTATATATTTCATCTGATTGTAAAATAGGCTTACCTTGCCCTGGCCAAGAGCTTCAAGGCTGCTGGTGTAGGACTGTATGGGATGGGTCTGGAATGTCACTTCATGTCCAATAGCCCTCCAGATCCCACTTTAATGAAGGTAAGCTACTGGGGCTGTATTCTAAGGATTTTTGTTAAGTTTTGTCTTAAGTTTTTAAAAATCGACTTAGCTAACAACAAACTTAAGCCTAATACTTTTTGTGAATATGACTAAGAAAAAACATAAATCTTAAGTCAAAACTTAAAATTTTATTTGGAACTTAAGTCATTGTTTAGACTTAGGTCCTTTTAAGAATAACGCCCCTGGTGAGTATACAGTTATTTAGCAAATATTAAGATAATGTCCGGATTGTAATGACTTTTGTTGTTATCCCAGTTGCGCCTGGACCATCTGGGAGCTGTGGGTCTTCCTCTCTGGACCACCGAGATGGATGTTGTGGTCCATGACGAGAACACCCGTGCTGACTGGTACGACACGGCGCTGCGCATGCTGTTCAGTCACCCGGCTGTCGAGGGCATCATTTTCTGGGGTTTCTGGAGTGTCAACCACTGGAGGGGCCCGGATGCCGCCTTGGTCAGCGGAAACAGTTACCACGTAGGTCACGTACTGTAGGTCATCGAGATGATCCCCGTATTGTAGATGACAAGATGTACTCGCCATAAGAACCCCGTACTGTAGATGACAAGATGTACTCGCCATAAGAACCCCGTACTGTAGATGACCAGATGTACTCGCCATAAGAACACCGTACTGTAGATCACCAGATGTACTCGCCATAAGAATCACGTACTGTAGATGACCAGATGTACTCACCATAGGAACCCCGTACTGTATATCACAAGATGTACGCGCCATAAGAACCCCGTACTGTAGATGACAAGATTTACTCGCCATAAGAACCCCGTACTGTAGATCACCAAGATGTACTCGCCATAAGAACCCCATACTGTAGATCACAAGATGTACTCGCCATAAGAACCCCGTACTGTAGATCACCAGATGTACTCGCCATAAGAAACCAAAGCTGTAGATCACCAGATGTACTCGCCATAAGAACCCCGTACTGTAGATCACCGAGATGTACTCGCCATAAGAACGCCATACTGTAGATCACAAGATGTACTCGCCATAAGAACCCCGTACTGTATATCACCGAGATGTACTGGCCATAAGAACCCCGTACTGTAGATCACCAGATGTACTCGCCATAAGAACCCCATACTGTAGATCACAAGATGTACTCGCCATAAGAACCCCGTACTGTATATCACCGAGATGTACTCGCCATAAGAACCCCATACTGTAGATCACAAGATGTACTCGCCATAAGAACCCCGTACTGTAGATCACCGAGATGTACTGGCCATAGGAAGGCCATACTGAAGATCACAAGATGTACTCGCCATAAGAACCCCGTACTGTAGATCACAAGATGTACTCGCCATAAGAACCCCGTACTGTAGATCACAAGATGTAATCGCCATAAGAACCCCGTACTGTAGATGACAAGATTTACTCGCCATAAGAACCCCGTATTGTAGATCACCGATGTACTCGCCATAAGAAACCCATTCTGTAGATCACAAGATGTACTCGCCATAAGAACCCCGTACTGTAGATCACGGAGATGTACTCGCCATAAGAATCCCGTACTGTCCCTTTCAAAAGGGTTTAATAGCGATTCATGCTAGATAAACACAATGTGTTAATTGATTATCTACATGACACTGTATATTTTTCAGTCACTAAAACGTACAGTTAACTATTTTTGAAACAGATAAATGCAGCTGGGAAAAGATACCTGAACCTGATACACCAAGAGTGGAGTACCCACGTGACTCACAGACTGACTTCAGGAACACAGTTCAATATCAGAGGTTTCCATGGTGATTATGATATCATTGTTAGGTATCAGGGAACACCCGTGAAAAAGCAGACATTCTTCCTTGGTAAAACAGACACAACCGTGACAGTTGACATCACGGACGCAACAGGTGAGCATACAGTAGTATTATAGTGGATGTATGAGTGAGTGGATATAGTTTACGTCGCTTTTAGCAATACTTCAGCATATCACAGCTAGGGGCACCAGAAATGGGCTTCACGCATTGTATCCATGTAAGGAATCGAACCTGGGTCTTCGGCATGACGAGTGAACGTCTTTAACCACTATGCTACCTAGTCGCCACGGCAGGTTTGGCATATAGTACATTCAGCGGGTGTGGCATACAGTATCATAGCAATGTGGAGATTATATGGCTGTGACATACAATTTCAGGGGATCATATGAACGTCACATGCAGTTTCGGGGTTTTATGGATGTGACTTGCAGTTTCAGGTGAATATATGTATGTGACATACAGTTTCAGGAGAATATATGTATGTGACATACAGTTTCAGGAGAATATATGTATGTGACATACAGTTTCAGGAGAATATATGTATGTGACTTGCAGTTTCAGGAGAATATATGAATGTGACATGCGGTTTCGGGGGATTATATGAATGTGACATGCAGTTTTAAGGGATTATATGAATGTGACGTGTAGTTTCGGGCGTTTGTATGAATGTGACATGCAGTTTCGGGGGATTGTAAGAATGTGACATGCAGTTTCGGGGATTATATGGGATTTCATACAGTTTTAGGGATAATAAAAATATTTCATACAGTTTCAGGTGGTTATATGGAGTTATATTGATGTGGTACGCAATTTTTTTATCAGAAACCATCGATGCAAGTCGGTACTCGATTTTGTGTGGCATCTTTAAACCAAATTTCAATTGCTAGGACGTTCTGTTGGATAAAGTGAGCGTGAGTGTACGTCTTACATGCTGTCAAGTTTAGGTTTCTTTAAATAAGATGATATTATATTTCAAACTAGGAGCTATCTCCATGGCAACAACTAAGTCCCCCGTCGATTACCAGCGGCCATCACCCCAACATCACGTGACCCACATAGGAGAACATAGTATCGGTCACATGACATCCGGTTCCTCCAGTCAGCTGTCGTGCATCACAAGATTCTCCGGACTGTCGGAGGTAGCAGACGACAAGTATGCCGAGGTCACGTGTCCGGATGGCTATGTCCTCACTGGGTGCTCTGGACGAAGCAAGGTGGGCGATCACGTAACAGTCATTGAGTGAGTGGGTGACTGAGTTTAGTGTTACGCCGCAGCTTTATGGCGGCAGTTTGTAAACAATCGAGTCTGGACCAGACAATTCAGTGATCAACATAATGAGCATCGATCTACGCAATTGGGATACGTTAACACGTGTCAACCAAGTCAGCGAACCTGACCACCCGATCCCGCTAGTCGCCTCTTAAGACAAGCATGGCTTACTGAAGAATAATTCTAACCCGGATCTTCACGGGTCTCTTTGAGTGAGGGAAGCCAACGCAATCTCGAAATAGTCAGATCTATTTGTGTGTGACTTGAGTAATAAGAGCGCGCGTCTCAAGCCAAAAGCGTGAGAGTTGGCAATGTTGGCAATGTTCTAACTGGGCAACGGCAGCCTGTAAGTAAAGGAGAACTGACAACACAAAACTGTCTCTTACATGATGAGAATATATCTATTCAATGTTTATTTGCTATTGTTTGTTTGCTAGCTGTTTAACGCCGCACTGAGCAATATTCCAGCTATATGACGGCGGTCCCCACGCAATGACAAGCATCAACCAAGTCTTACAAAACCAGTTCCAAATCGGATCTTCACGGAATTTCAAATTGATATGTTAAGGATATGAAACAGAATGTTTAAACCCATGTGATAATCTGATAATCGTGGCTACAGATATGTGATGTCTGTGGCAGGATCAGCGCAGCAACAGGGATGGAGAGGAGATGGTGATACACAGCGGTGCAGCCTGCAGAAGCGTTAATGGGGCAGCAACAAGTGCGCGTATGTATGATTAAAAATCCAAACTTTCAGGTCGACTTGTTTATGTGTATTGTATGCAATAACACCCGTCGGCCATTTCTGGGTATTAGTATAACACCAGAATTGCATGTTATAAACACCAACGTAGGTCTTGGTCGTTTATCAGGCAGAATCTGGGACTAAAGCCGACGATAATAGTATCCTTACTCACAAAGGGACGCAACTCTGCATAAACAATGCACCACCCATTCTCCCTTTCCCTTTGTCACCACCTGTGTTTGTCACCAACCTGTGTTTAGTGTCACCAATTCAGTGTCACCACCCATGTTTAGTGTCACCACCGTGTTTAGTGTCACCACCCATGTTGTGTTTAGTGTCACCACCCATGTGTTTAGTGTCACCACCCATGTTTAGTGTCACCACCCCATGTTTTCACCACCCATGTTTAGTGTCACCACCCATAGTTTGTTTGTTTAGTGTCACCACCTGTGTTTAGTGTCACCACCCATGTTTTGTGTCACCAGTCATGTTTAGTGTCACCACCCATGTTTAGTGTCACCACCCATGTTTAGTGTCACCCATTTAGTGTCACCACTGTGTTTAGTGTCACCACCGTGTGTTCACCACCATGTTCAGTGTGTCACCACCCATGTTTAGTGTCACCACCCATGTTTAGTGTCACCACCCATGTTTAGTGTCACCACCCATGTTTAGTGTCACCACCCATGTGTTTAGTGTCACCACCTGTGTTTAGTGTCACCACCCATGTTTAGTGTCACCACCTGTGTTTAGTGTCACCACCCATGTTTAGTGTCACCACCTGTGTTTAGTGTCACCACCCATGTTTAGTGTCACCACCTGTGTTTAGTGTCACCACCCATGTTTAGTGTCACCACCCATGTTTAATGTCACCACCATGTTTTGTGTTTAGTGTCACACCCATGTTTAGTGTCATCACCAACCACCAGTGGTGTCAACACACATGTTTGTAACCACCTCGTGTTTAGTGTCACCACCCATGTTTAGTGTCACCACCTGTGTTTAGTGTCACCACCCCTGTGTTTAGTGTCACCACCCATGTTTAGTGTCACCACCCATGTTTAGTGTAACCACCTGTGTTTTAGTGTCACCACCCCGTGTTTAGTGTCACCACCCATGTTTTTAGTGTCACCACCTGTGTTTAGTGTCACCACATGTGTTTAGTGTAACCACCACCCATGTTTTTGTGTTTAGTGTACCCATGTTTAGTGTCACCATGTTTAGTGTCACCCATGTGTTTAGTGCAACCACCCATGTTTAGTGTCACCACCCGTGTTTAGTGTCACCACCACATGTGTTTATGTCACCACCCATGTTTAGTGTCACCACCTGTGTTTAGTGTGTTTAGTGTCACCACCAGTGTTTAGTGTCACCACCTGTGTTTAGTGTGTCACCACCAGTGTTTATTGTCACCACCTGTGTTTAGTGTCACCACCCATGTTTAGTGTGTAACCACCTGTGTTTAGTGTCACCACCACCAGTGTGTTTAGTGTCACCACCTGTGTTTAGTGTCACCACCGGTGTTTAGTGTCACCACCCAACCACCCATGTTTATTGTCACCACCCATGTTTAGTGTCACCACCCATGTTTAGATGTCACCACATGTGTTTAGTGTCACCACCCATGTTTAGTGTCACCACCTGTGTTTAGTGTCACCACCCATGTTTAGTGTCACCACCCTGTGTTTAGTGTCACCACCCATGTTTAGTGTCACCACCTGTGTTTAGTGTTATGTGTCACCACCCATGTTTGTGTCACCACCCATGTTTAGTGTCACCACCTGTGTTTTAGTGTCACCACCCATGTTTAGTGTCACCACCCATGTTTAGTGTCACCACCATGTTTGTTTAGTGTCACCACCTGTGTTTAGTGTCACCACCCCATGTCACCACCCATGTTTAGTGTCACCACCCATGTTTAGTGTCACCACCTGTGTTTAGTGTCACCACCATGTCACCACCCATGTTTAGTGTGTTTAGTGTCACCACCCATATGTTTAGTGTCACCACCCATGTTTATGTAACCACCTGTGTTTTTAGGAACCAAGTGGGTTGTTTATTGTAACCACTTTTGGTGTTTATTGTAACCACCTGTGTGTTTATTGTAACCACCGTGTGTTTATTGTAACCACCTGTGTTTATTGTAACCACCCGTGTTTGTTGTAACCACTTGTGTTTATTGTAACCACCATATGTGTTGTGTGTTTATTGTAAACTACCGGTGTTTATTGTGTAACCACCGGTGTTTATTGTAACCACCGGTGTTTATTGTAACCACCGGTGTTTATTGTAACCACCGGTATTTATTGTAACCACCTGTGTTTGCTAACACTCAGCCGTCCAGGCCGTCGCTCGCTGTTGCAAGATGTCGGGTCTAACGTGCGACTACAGGATGTCTGGCCCTTCTTCTCAAGTGCTGGATCAGAGGATAGAAACTAGGTGTCTTAACAACATGTACGCTACAGGTGAGATGGAAAGTGTTGATGCATGTAGGGACTCATCTAAGTTAGCTAAGCAAGGTGTGACTAGGTCTATATGCAAGATAATGCTCGTGCCAAAGAAATTTAATAAGGTGTCTGTGGATGTAGGTGCACGTTCGAAAGCAATTTGAAAGGTGTCTTTGAATGTAAGAGCACCTTCAAAAGATATTTAAAAGGTGTCTGTGAATGTAGGTGCACCCCCAAAAAAGGAACGATACCAAGTCGAATTCACTGATATTACAAAACGACAAGCCACCATTGTAAAAAGGGAAGTGAATTTTGATAACAGGTGTCTATGCGCACATCATAGATAAAATGTTATCAGATATTAGGTATGAGATTTTGAAATATAATCAGTTGTCCTGTCGATCCGAGTTTGCAACGAGCGAGTGAATTTTGTTTTATGTCTCTTTGAAGACTGACTGACTGAGTTTGGTTTTACGCCGCTTTTAGCAATATTCCAGCAACATCACGGCGGGGGACACCAGAAATGGGCTTCACACATTGTGCCCATGTGGGGATTCGAACCCGGGTCTTCGGCGTGACGAGCCAACGCTTTAACCATTAGGCTACCCCACCGCCCCGTCTCTTTGAAGAGGTTTTCAGTTATAGACCCTGCTTAATATGAGAGAGAACTAATAGTAAAGCACGTCGTGGCGTATATCACATTTATGCTTACAAACAAAGAATTATAATGAGAACAAATGTGGGATTTGAACCTACGAATAACTGTACAGATCCTGGTGGAGGGCCGCCTTCCCCATCGAAACCCCATGGGGTTAGTGATAACCTGATGATACTACTCATTCAAGAACGCTGCGCGGAAACGCGGAAACCACGGAAATCTCTCTCCACAGCATTTGAGTGCAGTTAAGAGTTAGTATGTATGTCGTAAACCCGCGGTGAATGCGTGTGAGAATACAGGGTGCCGTTGTACAAAGCGATCTTAGCGCTAAGGTGACCGTAACTCCGATACCTTAACATAGACTTAAGGTAGTCTTAGCGCGAAGGTTGGTTTGTACAACAGCACCCAGATCTCCATCAACCTAGGCGTTTCTAAAGAAGCGACAAAACGGATCTGGTACACAGACTCGGTAATTTGGTTGACTGAAGGTCACCGTATCCTGGTGGCTTTCATCCATTTTAACCGTATCATTCACCTGATTATCTGGTCCGTGTCGGTATTGTTCCAGACCGCATTTATTTACCTCAACAAACAAACAATCTTGTGAATGATAGCCTTGACATGTCCCTTCCCCAGGATGCACGGCACACACAGCCTACAAGTACACTGACGGCTCCTTCCCTGATCCAAGCCTTCACTCATGTCTAGCTCAGAACCAGCACTCAGAGGGACGTGAGTACACCGAGAAACCGCGCTAAATTTAAATTTAAATTTATCTATTATACAACAGCGTGGCAGAGACTGTCAGAGAAAACCCAATGTGATGATCGCTGCATTTACTACCTTGGTGTTCACATACGAAAGATCACAATCAGTACGAATCTAGTTTCTGAACCCAGTAACAGCGACATGATCGTCATCGACAACTTGATTTTCATTTGCAATCTCAAGCATCGTGTTATGTTGCAAAAGTCAGTTTATGATCAAGCTCTACATTGAAAACACAGTATGTACACATTCAGTGTACCATCGTACAGTAAGCCAGCATGAAACCGAGACCTAGACTGTACGTGTTTCTGTGTACTCTGACAACAACTAGGGGTCTACTCATATGCCGCGTGCTGTTCCGCTCCCCATCTGACATGCCAGGTGAAGACGTCTCGTCCGACTGGGGACGCCATGGGGGATGAATCATCCGTGACATGTGACGACGGCTGGACACTTCTGGGATGTACGTCTTACTCAGAGGATGCGGGTCTGGCTGGAGCGTACATTAGAGGTGGGGGAGATACGTGTAGGATGTAGATGATACACATGAGTGAGTTTACTTTTACGCCGCAATGTTCCCGCAATATCACGGCGGGAGACTCGAGAAATGGGCTTAACACACTGTACCCATGTGGGGAATCGAGCCCGAGTGTCCAGGGCCTGACCAGCAAACGCTTTAACCACTAGGTTACGCCACCGCCCCAGACGATACATAGTAGATGATGATAGTATGTAAAAGATACATATAGTGTTAAGGAGATGTAGTGTTTAGTATATATCCATATTGCATATAGAAGAATGAATGCAGTAATTCATTATTAATACGAATGAATTTATTCCTACCAAAAATGATCTATATTTCCTCCGATAATTTTGAAGACTGACAACAATAATAGCAAGTTTATCACCTTTAATCACCTTCATAGCAGCTCTTTTATTCCATGTTACTAGGAAACCACCAATGTATTGCTGTGAATGGCCAGGAGAGGTTGTACGGTGACTACCCAGTGACAGCATACGCCACGTGTTGTCGGACACGGTGACCAGACAGCACAGTCCGTTCATAATCATTTATAAACATATAGTTTAAACAAACTGTATAGCTAATGTATTGCGTAATTTATTATGTACATACTGGTTTCATATAACACTGAATGTACTCGTAGATTTTATGTTTTATCAACAAAAGAAAAAGTGGCTAAACACAAGACATCAATCTGGCCTGGGAAAATCCAGGCATATCGTTGTAAATTGAAAATAGATTATTGCAAATTAGTATACTTTGTGTTGTTTATATAGAAATAAGTTCCGTGTAAATGTTCTTGGGTAGCAAGATACTGGATCTATAGCGTCCGGATTTCTTTTCCTTTAAATCTGAGAAGATTTGTGAAATGAAGTAAAATAACTAACTGCTGTGGATGAGGTTGTGGTTACTGAGTTGTCGGAATATGAATGAAGTTAGATAGGTTAACTGACCTACCCATCTCTCGGTTGTTAATTATGGCAACCTAGATGAATTCTCGCCCACGTAAAGAGAAGCGACAAAACCCTTTAGATGTCCATAAGAAACTGTTGCCGCTGGCTGATCAACAACTATATATGATGGGTCTAAAACCGGCGAAAACTAACCATGACTGATTCAATCCTCATGTAATGTTGTCGTGTCTAGTGGCTCCTTGGTATAATTTCAAATCAACGAGTCCAATGAACACACAACCTTGTCACTCTAACCTGACACCAATCAGTGAACACACAATCATATCACTATAAGCTGTCCCTCTTCAAGGAACACAATCAAGTTACTGTAACCTAACCCCGTTCTATAACCTGACCCTTCAATGAAAGCACAATCATGTCGCTATAACCTGACCCTCTCTAAAGAACACACAATCATGTCGCTATAACCTGACCCTCTCTAAAGAACACACAATCATGTCGCTATAACCTGACCCTCTTTAAAGAACACAGAATCATGTCGCTATAACCTGACCCTCTCTAAAGAACACACAATCTTGTCGCTATAACCTGACCCTCTCTAAAGAACACAGAATCATGTCGCTATAACCTGACCCTCTCTAAAGAACACACAATCTTGTCGCTATAACCTGACCCTCTCTAAAGAACACACAATCATGTCGCTATAACCTGACCCTCTCTAAAGAACACACAATCGTGTCGCTATAACCTGACCCTCTCTAAAGAACATCCTCAAGTTACTGTAACTTAACCCCGTCCAGTGAACACACATTCGTGTCACTATAACCTGACCCTCTCTAAAGAACATCCTCAAGACCTCTCCCGTAGACAATCTATATACGGAGGCTAACGGACCTTCCCTTGAACAACGCCGCATTAAACTTTCACCGCAATATATCACTAAATTACGTTCAAATGAGTCCAGTCCAGCATACAATTATGTTTTCAACCCTCTCTATGAAAACAAATACTTTGGTGTTCCAACAGGAATACAACCAGTTACGTTCTAAGTATAACACCCATAGATCCATTTTCACAGACGGATCCAAGGATGATGGCCAAGTTGCCAGTGCAACAGTCATTGGATCCAAGACTGTCTCCTCTAGAATTCCCGATAATAGTTCCATTTTCAATGCTGAGGCCAAAGCTATCTTCACAGCTTTGACCTATATCAAACAACAGAACCATTCCAAAAACTTCATTGTTTTTACACATTCATTATCTTGCCTTCAAGCACTTCAAAATGTTACTTCAAGTCACCCTATCATCCTAGACATTCTAGTACTTTACAACGACCTTTCTACTGGTCAATGTGACATCGTCCTCTGCTGGTTGCCGGGTCACGTCGGCAAAGCAGGTAACACAAAAGCCGATGCTGCAGCTAAAGCAGCTCTTGACAAGCCCTTATCTCCACTGCTAATCCCGTATAGTGGTTTCAAACCCACTATCAAAAGTTATACTCGGGACCTTATGCAAAAAGCTGGGACACCCAAAGAGGAAGAAATAAAATTCATGAAATGAAGCCAACAATTGGTTATACCTACTTGGGTTGTCAGTCAAGACGTGATGAGGTTGTTTTACGGCAATATCATATTGGCCACAGTCGGTTTACACATGACTATTTGCTGAAAATGGATGTAGATGGACCTCCCATGTGTGTCTCTTGCGATGAAGTGTTCACCATCAAGCACATACGGCTTGCCTGGCAAGGAACTCGCATTGTGAAGCGATAAACCTGAAAGACATGTTTTCCCGCGTCAGCGGGCATCTCATTGGTAGCTACCTGAGGGAAGTTGACCTATACCATAAATTGTAGCTCTGTAATATGAATAACAAATTGCCTGCTTTTGAATTTGGTGCTATGGCGTTTTCTGTTTTTAAATAATAATGTAATGAATATATATGTTTTCAAAATAAAACTCATTTATACTTCGTACTTAAAATGTGTATGAATTCAGACTTGATCTCGACACTATATGGCTGGAATAATGCCGATGTGACGTAAAACCCAACTCAACTCAACACTATAACCTGACCCTCTCTAAAGAATACAATCGAGTTACTTTAACTTAGGGGCGGTGGGGTAGCCTAGTGGTTAAAGCGTTGGCTCGTCACGCCGAAGACCCGGATTCCATTCCCCACATGGGCACAATGTGTGAAGCCCATTTCTGGTGTCCCCCGCCGTGATATTGCTGGAATATTGCTGAAAGCGGCGTAAAACTAAAACTCAGTCAGTACTGTAACTTAACCCCGTCCAGTGAACTATAACCTGACCCTCTCTAAAGAACACACACTCATATCACTATAACCTACCCCGTCCAATCAAAGCACAATTATCTCATCATAACCTGATGCTCGACAGCGACAGATAATGCGACAGAAGGAATGTGCCATTTCAAATTAACGATTAAAGTGTCACTGACTATAAATAAAACATTAAATATGTTTCTTATCTGGATTTTGAATTAATACGTTAAACTCATATATGTACATTGAATGTCATCAATACATATTTAAACTACACTAAGATTGCGTTTATTTAGATATAGATCAAATCAAGTCCGTGTCTGCAACACCATTATTAATGTCTCATCATGCAAACCTAATCGCTTGAATGTTTGGAATGTACAAGTATACATGTTTCCCACATTGATTTTGTACATTTTACCTTGACTGAAATTTTAAACTTTAAATGAATATGATCTGAAAATGAAAACTGGAAATTACCGACAGAAAGTAAATTAACTGCAGAAGGCTTTTAAATAGCAATCTCATCTGTAGTCAAATAAATGTGTTACACAACAATACACACAAAATTGATGTGACCAACCGTTGTACCCGTTACATGAACTAGGCCAGTTAAGCCTATAGGTCCTGTAAGTCTCGCGAGGCGCTACTTCCGGTACTAAGCTGATTCCCGGCTCCCTTTGCGCGCGCCGACTTGCGATAAGCGAGACGGGACCCAGTTTACTTCAGGTACCAGATTTCCGGTAAGAAGCGTATATTCAAGAACCACTTCTGGTTCCAAATTGCACGACCGCCAAATAGGACTTAACTAAACCAGACCAAGTGTACGACCATGCTTGGCTGTCACAGCTGTCAGCAGTCGTAATAGCTGGCTAATTTGGGGATAGTTAGATCTGATATTTATTATTCCTACAAGGATTATCGGTTCCTTACTGTTTATTGACAACCATGAGACCATTCGAAAAAGTATGACACGTTGTTTGTCACCGGAAGTACTTAGGTCTCGCGAAGTGCCATGACCTCCTTACGAGCCCTATATCCGGCGAATGGGGGCACGAGACGTTCGAGCAAAGCAGATTTGTCCTTTCAGGCGATCATACGCTTTGACGTGGGAGAGGCATATTTGTCGGCCCAAATATGAAACCCAAACCTGTGTTTGTAATAAGTTATTAGTTATTTTGATCTTGTAGCCTTGGACAAACACGAGTGGTATGACGTTCTTAGAGATCTTGGTTACAAGTGTATGCTCGATTGTACCTCAAAGGTTACTTGATAGGCTGCCTCAGTATTATTCGACTGCAAGGGAAAGTTGACAATTGGAAAGTTGAAGTCTTCCCTCCAATCTTAAGTCTTATGTAAAGCCACTGGATCTTAATGCATGCATTTGAATATGAAGCAGTATGTGAGTGAGTTTGATTTTACGCCGCTTATATCAATATTCCAGTAATATCACGGTGGGGAACACCACATAGATGAAGCAGTAACCTTTGATACAATATCCTATATATATAATTAACGTGGGTAAATGAGTGTCAGAAGATAGGTCATTTGATGGTTATTGAAAATATCAGGTCATCGATCAGTTTGCAATCATTCGTATCTCAATCGTCTTACTATTCCATCCATCCATACACGCTGGTGTGAAGAAGAGGAGCAATATTTTATGGATAGACAACTTCTATATTGCAATAGTTGCGACGTTCCGGTGTAGATGGTAACACAGTTATCAGGCAAGTGATAGCATCTACACCGAAACGTCGCATCTATTATCTATCCAAGTATCACCACGCGTTCGTGTTCAAAACTATTGGAGAGCCCTTATCTTCTTATTACGATTCGTTTGACAATTCTTTTCATGCTTATCTTGTACCAATTACAAATATATTGGCTATAAGATGTCGCATATTCCAGTCAATGTAGGATGGAGACGTTGATGAGGATGTTGGTGCTATGTCGGGTGGTTCTGTGGGTGGGGATAGGGATACAGATTGCGTGGCAACAAAGTCTTGTTGGCAATATTACTGTTGCATTGATGAATGTCAGCAACTCTCGTTACCAATTTTGTGTTGCCAACGGGGGCTGCCTAATGCCAGATTACGACGCCCAGGGCCGGAGTTGCCGTCAGCACTCGGCGCCAGGAGACGGCATCAGCACCAGCGTCCCCGACAATGACATCACGACACAGGCGGACACAGCCAATAAGGTGACGAGTATATGTACATTTACAATTGATAGTTCCAGAGTGGCATTTAATCATTACTTGCTTTACTATTTAGTCAAGAAAGGATGCGCTGTTGTACGGCCTTTTCTTAACAGGAAGTTATAATACGGTATACACATGTAGTATACTCAGAATAGCAATGATATTCAAAGATCAGTATTACATATTTCAGTATTAAGGCTATAACAATTCATGCGTGCATAATAATAGTAAATTAGAGTAATTACATTAAGGACAGTTGGAGATTGATAGCTTCCTAGATAAATATTGCTGGATTATTCAGGAGAGTTACATCACTTGATCGGAGCCATATTTGTAAGAGTATGTTTAT